CAGCAGGTATGGCATGAATGACACGGATGATCTCACTTTTGAGGTTTGCAATTGTCCTGAGGTCATTCTCATATACTCTATCTCAGCCATATCCCCACAGGTAGGGACATTTTAGACGATGGGTACAGGTTTCCCGACAGGGCAATAGTTGCCGCAGGGGCATGTTTTTTAAAGTAGTATCAATCTGATGGTCATGAAATAATGTAGGCAGGTAGCAAATGATGTACAAAAGTGTAAATGATGTACAAAAGTGCAAAATATCAGGGAGTTATTTCTTAAAATGACAAAGATATGAGGAAAATGGTATTTGGGTCTCCATTTTTACGACCCTGTAGATCTGTACAGTGTGGGCAGAAAATCCTCCTTTTTCATTTTGTAACCTTACTATACATAAGTCATGGATTTTAAAAACCTAGTGTGTGTAAACTTTTCTCATCACAGTACAGCAGTTGATAAATCATTGAAATGTTTGAAACAATGAGGGAGTTGCACACCTTTGCTATAGCAGTTATATATATAACTGAATAAAGCTGACTAAATAGATGTCAGCACTTGTTTTTATTTGTTTTGGTTGGACCAGCCTGCCATAGGCATCAACTGTAAAAATTGCAGTCATATAATTTCATGATTTATCAAAATGTGTTGGTTGAATTTCTCTAAAACTTGCATGGAATACTATAGGATAACCCTGTACATATTTTCATTAATCATGTTCTTTGTTTAAGAATTTCAGCATGGGATCAATGGAGATTTGGCCCACACTTTTTTGGAAAAGTTGGAAGTCATGGAAAGTGATTTAAATAAAACCACAGTATACATCAAACGTATCTTTGTTGAAAACCATTCACTGTATTCGTATATGCTATTAAAAAGAAGGGAAAGTAAGTAATTAGAGGTTAAATATGCAAATCTCACGAAAAAACGAGAATAGGCGAGATTTCAAAGCTATGAAGAAACTCCTCTATTGTATGATTGGATTCTGCGTCTCAAGCAAATTAGTTTTGAAACACATGACCTATCGAAAACGAGAGAGAAAAATAAAAGAATGTGATTTATTTTGAACCGCCTTGTAACTAGTGCCTTGATATGAATTGTCGCTCCACCTTAACTTATTTAAAAGTACGGGGTCATTAAATTACACTAGCCGTAGTTAGATGATCGATTCTGTAGATAACTTCAGGGGTAAATAACAAGCAGACTGAGTAACATCCGGAAGTAGAAGAAATGCTTTTTATCAAGCTACTAAAAGCCAAATGTCAATTCAAATTATATTGCACCAATTTACAACGGTAACCGAATAAGAGAGACAACTCATCCCCTGGACAACTCATCCCTGGACAACTCATCCCCTTGACAACTCATCCTCTGAATAACTCATCTCCTGGATAACTCATCCTCTGGACAACTCATCCCCTGGACATCTCATCCCCTAGACAACTCATCCCCTGGACAACTCATCCCCTGGATAACTCATCCCCTGGACAACTCATCCCCTGGATAACTCATCAGCTGGACAACTCATCCCTGGACAACTCATCCCCTGGACAACTCATCCCCTGGATAACTCATATCCTGGATAACTCATCCCCTAGACAACTCATCTCCTGGACAACTCATCCCCTGGATAACTCATCAGCTGGACAACTCATCCCTGGACAACTCATCCCCTGGATAACTCATCCCTGGACAACTCATCCCCTGCAGTTGAATTTTGGCAAGCCCAGATCATGATCTATACTTTCTTCTCGGGGTAATTATAAGGGGCTTTTGTTTCAAAATCAATGTTGGACATCATGCTAGGATATTTTACTGAAGCGAAGCGCAAATAGAGATTTTACACTAATGGGAGAACTGTTTCGCTAAGCTAGAGTAGTGACCGTTGACGAGTCATGACTCATTGGATGTAATGGTCGTCCACTCGCTTCACCACTGTGTCCCCACCCAATATCTATAACTTTAACAATTATTACACAAATTATCCAGACTAATAAGAGTCCTAGTTAATTTATAATAGAATAGAACACAACACAACACAACACGCGATGCCACAATACAACATAACACAATAACACAACACATCATAACACAACAGGTGCCGGTGTAAAAGGGTAGGAGGTCCTATCAAATTATGGTCCTACTCTCCATTGATTTATATGGTGACCTAAATACAACTCTCCCTCATTATCTTATACGCAATCAGGGCCAGTAAGAGCCGATAAGAAAGGGGACCATGATCCCTGGGGGACCATCATTTCTTTCACACCGGTATGATAGTACTGTAAATCAAAATAATTATTAAGCGTCCGGTAGGAGTGAATGTTGTTTCCGTTTAAAAAACTTAACAAACCACTTGAGACTTTTCATGAAGATAGTTTTCAGGCTAAATCTAGAAAAGGTTAGATAAGATCAAAGTAATTTTTGAAGTTTCAAAGTTCTCCAAAATGTAAAATTGATCAGATTGATCCACAACTACAATAAACATTTCATAAAAAAGATCTTTATTTATTTTCTAAATAATTTTTTTCTTGTAAGCTATTTAATGAAAACCACAAATTACTTTGTATTGCCTAATTGGAGTTTTTTCTCTTCTGCGCCCTTCCATATACTTATTAACGGGAAAAATATTGGTCATCTCGTAAACGAATTGATCGTCTTTATAAGTTCGCAATTTTTTCAAGCTTCTAGGTATTTTCAGAAAATATTTCTTTCACTATTTGAATTATTCAAAGGAGTTACACTCAATGAAATGCAACAATTAAGTGTAAGAAAAACAGTTATGACATTTGACTGATTTATAGTTTTAACTCCATGTTAGTCTAGAGATCTTCATTCGAATTGTTTTGATTAAAATGCACTTAATTTTCTGCAAAATATTTATGCTTTTCTCGCCTGTCATGAGATTGGGATATTTTGAGTAAAAACAGCTGTAAATACATGACAAATTGAAGGGTTTACTTTTTGTGTCTATTTAAAGAAAAGTTTGCAATTAATTGGTTTGAACTTCATGTCTTGAAAGGCGAAATGACAAAAATACTTTATTTCAAGCTAAGGTAACCCGATATGTCTTTTATCACGACGAAAATACATGTCCGAGTATGTTTCCGCGTCCAATAATAAACAAAAAACGTCCAATTAATCATTTGGGTCGGTTTCAGTGAACCAGCCCGATTGCACCAAATGGCTTGTAATTATTAAAAAGTTAAAATTGTTGTGAAGTTGCTATTTTTGATCGTGAAATACGTCGTGGTTGAAAATATGACAAAATTTAGTCGCAGTGTTTACCGCAACAAATCTATTCTATCATCTTAATGTGACCAGAAACGGTTGTTATGGGATTATTTTCTTTAAATGTGTTACTATTTCAAGAATTTTTCAATGATTTATCTCATGAAACCTGTTTGGAATAAATAGTCCCCAAATCGGCACGCACATTAACACACCACACCCCGTGTGGGAATTTCAGGATTACAAAACTTCAAAATTCGTGTAAATAGCGAACGTAAAATTATGAGAAGATGTAATAAAAATGCCGATAAATGACGGAATAGTTTCAAGAGTCTTAACATTTCTTGCATCACGCTTGTCTTTATGACTGGCTTCCACAGTTTTATCGCTCATTATATTGATTACGATTGCGCAAGGATATGACCGTGGCTAATTAAGGACTTCTCGGACTGATTATGTCTCGCGCTCTATTTAGACGATTAACGCACCTCGTAATTCTAACTTGATTTAGTGGACGTTTTAATAGGTTTTATCGTCCATTATTGTGATCATTCTTACATCATGTAAGGTGTCTGCCGAAAATATTACAAATAACTAATCATGCTCGTTTAAGAAGCAGGTTGGCAGGCCGTATAAGGCATCTTCGAAATTAGTGACTCCATAACGATTTTCAAAGTATGAATAGTTTGGATGCAGCATATCTCTCTACATACCCTTGAGGGAATCTAATACTACTGTAATGTAACGTACAATTTAATGCAAATCAGAATGCGAAACAAACCCAGATCTCAATCGTGAATTATGATTTCATAATTCATTTCTTTGCGCGTAGTTAACTTTTACTTTCTGAGTGCCTGGATAGTATAGCATGGGTCAGTTTGAACAGTATTTCTCATGGCTCTTCTGACCTTTCAAATCCCCATTGAGAAATGTTCTAATTTGAAATATTCGAATATAATAAAATGAAAGGACTCCATTGACCTCTGATTAAAGGTCATTACTCTGTATTGTTCGCTGTTTCGTTTAACAAAATACTTTCGGCATTTTAAGGTCAGTTGACCAGTTTTTTCTTATTCATTGAAAATATTCTCACAGGATTCATGAAAAACCGATGAACTTTTTATCGACCTTGTCTTGAAGCTTACGAAAGGAAGATATGTAACCAATTTTTTTCTAATGCTCTCTTCTTCCGCGTTGGAAATATTATAAAGTGTGGGGGTCATCTCAATACTTAATTATTAAAATACGATTAATTCCTTCATCAATTTGTAATATGTGCATACATGGAAAATGTCGAGTTTTCATTCATTTAAACGGAATGAAGTATCTTATTATAATCTGTAATTATGCACTAATCGTCCCTCAACAAATAAGGATTTCAGAGGGGAGACAAAACAAGCGGGGGGTGGTGTGAGGGCCGGTACGAGGTTAACTAAAAACCAGCAAGGATTTAAAATGCTATAGACCCATAAAACCTAGAGTAATTTATAATGAGGATGGAGAGGATTCGTTATTTAAAAATTCTTTTCCGACAAGCCGGGTATGGATAGCTAAAATTAGCAAATCCATGGTAAATGATTGAGAAATAAAATAAAACACAACTTACAAATTATGTTATATATTATTATAAGAATTTATTTATTAAATAGCTTTATGAATTTATGTGACTGCACTAAGCATGTTTTTAATAAATGCTTTATTTTGTATGACTAGAATATATTTGACTGAGACCAACTTAATGTGAAGAAGATACAATCAATCAGCCAAGTTTCAGGACAGTTTAACGCAAAGCCTCTGATATTGGTTTCAATAGGAGCGTATTTTATTCACTTGCGCCAATTGAATTCCACTAAGTCTTTGCGCTAGACTGTCATAATTCGTGATGATAATAGGCTAATGCTATACTTGGAATTTGATATTCTACTCGAGTTAGATGTGAAATAAAATTTGAAAGAAAGCAAAATCACTTTCTTTTTGTCACAACAACTTCAAAGTCTTGAGGTTTCAGCGCAAGGCCGAACTGAGCGTCCAAACTATATTTCGTGTCTTGTACTGGTGAGATATGTAACGATCTGAGAAGACTGACGAAGATAAGAAACACTTCTAATTTGCCGAGATTTTCTCCCGAGCAACGACGTTTGCCGTAACTGAATGGTTTCACAAGGTCCATTTTTGATCGGATCAAATCACCGTCTTTATCGATGAATCTGTCGGGGTTGAACTGATCGGGATTTCTCCATAGTTCCTCACTTCGGTTGATTGACCAGAGGTTGACCAATACCGTCGTATCTTTTGGTATTTGAAGACCATTTAGGGTTGTGTTCTTAGTTGTGTAGTGTGGCAACGCTAACGGCACGCTTGAAGCAAACCGGTAAACCTCCCAGATACAGGCCGTTGTGTAGGGCATGTGGGTCATGTGATCGGTGGAAGGTTCTTCGTCAGGCATAATTACGTCATCTATTTCTTTTTGCACTTTGGCTTGCACGTCTTGGTTTATCACCATATATAGAATCGCCCAGCAGAGGGTGAATGTAACTGCATGGGTTCCTGCCCCCAGAAAGTCTTGAATAATATGCAAAACGTGGCCTTTGGTAAGTCCCGTGGACAGTTTATCTGCTTCACTTATATTATTGTTCGCTCGAATGATGGCGTCGAGAATACTCCGCTTTTTTGTATCGTCATACGTGTCCCAATGCTCATTTTCTTTCCTATTGCAGACGTCAAACATCGTGTTACAATTTGTCACATAAGAGTTATATTGCGATGCAATCAGTTTTTTGGTCCAAGGGATAAAATCAGCAGGGTTTCCTCTGATTTGGAATTCCATGATGTCATGGTTGATCTTTATTAAATGTTCTTGATCTTCGTCATCAGGATTGATTCCGTAACAGAGTTTGTAAATTAGACCACATACACTGTCGAATATATCCGGCATCGGATTATGAGGCGTTCCACTGGATTCTAAAAGCTTCTGCAATAAACGTTGCGTCTCAGATTGAATAAGTTCTTCAACCCCATATTCGTTGTCTTTCGTAATTGTCCTAAGAGACGCAAGGGCGACCTTGTGTTGTAACTTCCACATTGGAGAATAATCCCCGAATGCCATGCTTTTCCCCTCGGAAAGGAAGCTGAGAGAGGGTAAGTGCGGTCTACCAGCGAAATCCTCTCCCTGGTGGATTAGAGCTTGTTTAATCGACTCGTGTCCATTAAGAACAATCACGGGGTATCCTCCAATATAGACACGGTAGACATCGCCAAATTTCTTTCGCAGTTGCGTAAACGATTTATGAGGCTGTAGACCTATTTGTAATAAGTTTCCTAATAACGGCAATCGGAGTGGTCCAGGTAAATGTCCATATTTATTGTCTTTTGTGCTCCAGACTATTGTTAGAAGTGCCAGCAGTGAGAGAATCAATGCACTGCTTACTAGGGTGAAACCAGTTCTAGACACACTCTTCGCTACCCCGAACAGGAGTTCAGCCTGCGCTACACTGTCATTTATGGAGGTCAATTTTCCAAAATCAAAACTTCCATCCTTTAATTGTTCCGACAAACTCATATTGAACTTATAAGCTGTTCATTTATTTAAATATATCGATTTCGTCAGAGTTCTGTAGAATACAAGTGTCAATGCGATTTGCACGAAAATGCGATCCTGAAAATCTCCCCTGGAATTTATAGAGAATCGGCCCTCATACGCTACTTGCATCTCCGCTCAGCCAATCATAGCTAATTACGGCTCATATCCCGGGATAGTACAATCTGGGACTTTAAGTGCGTGTTTGTTTCATCTTAAGACACATTTTTGTTTGTTTGTTTATTATGAGTAAATGGAGTTGTCATCGAGTTGACAAATTATAAAAATAAGGGAATGTGAACAATTAAATTAAACGGAAGTTTTTCCTGTGAAGATCAAACAACTGGAACGTTTTTATTTGCACTCAATTTTATTTATTAATAACTTGGATATCTATTTTGTTTAATTTTTCTCAATGAACATTGAATTAAGTGTACTTAAGGTCGGTTGTCATGTCGGGAAGTCTTAAAATAGATCAGGCCAAAAACTAAAATAAAATGCATATGAATGTCAGTTTTTTTTTTGTGAACCATTCTGATTTGAATAAAAACCTTGTGTAGTACACTCCCTCGATCCAAATTTCATGGATTTTTTTATCAAGCTGCGGTCAAGTATTTAGGCTATTTTGACGAATATTACGTCATTTCGCGATGTGAAGGAATGTCCTCATATAAGAATGATTGGTGATTTACTGGTATGGGGTGTCTGCGATATATCAGTTCACGTTACATCAGTCACGGTGAACCATCATACCCTCTTGCGTAACACTGGCTATCAAGTTCAGACTTTGAAAATATGAAAGGATATGGCGGTTACAGCGAAAAATGACATGGGTTTGTATTAAGTATATTAGCAAGAGGAAACAAATTATGATCTAATACAAAACCATAGGAATCTTCATAATATGGAGGCGGGTTTGAGAGAGGGGGAGGGCACCCGTCCTGAAGTTATTTTAAGTTACTTTCATGATGCACTACTAGAATAGTGTGGGTATAATATCATAAAATATTGCTGTATCTCAATATGATTTATTTTTTATCCTCATGCTCTCTACTTTCTAATTAATTTAATGACTGTTAAGAAAATATAAAAATAATATTCTAATTAAGCCTCTGGTGTACTTGCGCACCACCACAGAGTTTTCCAACCAAGACACCTTCTCCGGCAAAAGAGCTGTTTCACGCAACTTCTATTAAGGCAATAAATGTTTTATTTCCTGCTCAGTATTGAAGAAACAACTTGTCTCACAAACTCCTCAAGAATTATCAAAGGTAATAGCCGGTTCGAAGAAGTACCGTTCATCATGCAAGCTTTTGTATGATTGATAACTAATTTTTGCATTAATTAAAATATTCTCTGGGATTTAGCTACATGAAGATCAAAATAAATGCGCTCTTGTAACGAGTATCATACCCATGTATCTACAAGCCATGACCATGCCTAGTGCGGGGAAGAATTACTATAAAAGTATGTTCAGTGCGGCTGTCAAGAATATAATAAAACATGTCGAGACGAACTTTATGATGAGAAAATACTTGTAAAGTAGTATCACGTGATTTTATTTACAAATAAAAACTGTAAAGCGTACAATTCACAAAATTTGTATTTTTTTCGATTCAAAGAATAAATGATTCGCTCATTCCAAGAAACAAGGAACTTTGTGATTTGATTCACATATGTAAATATTGATCTTGATATAACTGCATTAACATTTGATTATCACATTAATTATAGAAAATATTTTTATTTTTCAGATTATATGGTTATTTATATGTTTACTAGTATAGGTATACGATCTCTCTATATGGTACCTGCAAGTCGGCACCGTTGAGATTGACCTTGACAGGCGGAATTCTTAGTACATTTAGTTGGCCATTTTTTAAAGAAATTCCATCAATCTGATACAAATGATATCTTCAAAATATCAACACTTTTTCACTGATCACGGTCCTAAGAAATGTTTTTGCTTATAGCATATTTTTCACATATGTCTATTATCCATGGCTAAAAAGTATCAACACAAAGCTAAAAACTAACAGTACATAACAATATGCTTAATCAAACAAACTATGCGCAAATCAAACACACTATGCGCAAATCATAATGCAAGACTATGCAATGTAATACATTGAACACTTTATCACATTTACATATATTTCAACATTTCATATTGCAGATACAACTGAACACGTAATTAAGATTCAACAAACTGCAACGCGCGACGGAATACAATTTTGCAACCCAAATGTAGCAGAACACAAAACAACACGACATAATATAACACAATACAACATAACACAACAAAACACACAACACAGCACAGCATCGTACAGTACAATAAAACGGAATACAAAATAATACAATTAGACTTCAGTACAACAAAAATTTGCAACAAATGGTAACTTCTGTAATCCAATTTAATGAAATTATAAAGGGAAATACCCTGCGCATCATTATGGCACAATTGCCCAATACAGTAAGCACAACCACGTACCAAATTAACTTGAAACATAACATTTCAACGGAACATAACGCAAATAATGACGTTGCAATATAATGCGTTACAACACAACATTATGCAATTCAACTTTTCAAAATATTTTTTAACAAGGTCCAAAAATGAAGAAAGCAACTCTATTGGATCAAGCGAAATCCAATTTACTAACTGTGGCATAGTCTAAAACGCTATATTTTAACCCAGACACTCTAGTTTCATAAGCTTTCGAGGTGTGGATGGTACATTTAGGGGCAAACAGATGTTTATATTTTGTAGATAAGGTTGTTTACGGACTGGACAGAATAACAGGAAATGTTTTTATAAAGGAGCCCTCTCTAAGGTAGGCTAACCTTGTCCAGTCTAATGAGCACAATCTGACGCCCTTAACATGCCTTTAGCTTCTGACCATTATGTATATGTACTATCATTCCCGATGTTTTTGTTATTAGAATCTCACTTGACCCGTCCTTCAATGCTAGCTACTTCCCCAGAAGTTCCTCAAAGAAAATTTGAGACCACCTTGACACAGGAGAGGCTTATGTCAGAACAACCGAAATGCTGATATGTTAGACATAGACACTCCACTACAAAAGGTTAGCAACTTCGACTCCACATATTTTTGATATTTTTTCAAAAGAATGTTTGTGTAACTAATTGTTTACCAAAATTGCGTTGGGTCGGAAAATGAGAAATTGAGGATTCTTTCAATTGCAAAACAGGCTCCACATTTACGTGGTTCAATTTTGAAGTTTGTATCGCCAAACTTTTGGTAGAGTCTCTTTTTATCTACTTCGTTTAATATTTAAGGTTTTTATACGGTTACTACAACGATCAATACATTTCTTGTTGTTTTGTACACTTCATGTACTTTTACTTTTGTTGGACATCTGAGGATAGATGGACATTTCTAGATTTATATCCTGAATGGAATTAAATAAACATTTGCGTGACATTTGTTGTACGGGCGCCTCTCAAGATCAACTAGGAGGATCGACCCTGGATTAACATAACACTTGAGAAATGGAGGTAATCCTCATCCTTCATGATCCCACTGGTCAGTTTTTATTACCTCAACCCCAACGGAAGGATTTTCTCTGACATTTATCATGTAGTCTGTGATTTATGGCGGCGTTTTAGTTATCACGAACTTGCATAATAGCACTTAGAATGCAAGGTGATGACACGGTATTTTGACTATACGTGGTTCTCGAGTTACCCAAGGTTCAGTGTCTGGGGAGCAGGTGTCGACGCTCGAAATAGGAAACCTCCTCTCTGCATTTATCTGTTTATGTAAGGTTTTGACCACTGCTTATACGTGTGCCGGCTGGCTTGATATCTTTACTTGTCATCGTGACTCTTGTCTCACCTATCATAGCCATGGTAACACAACATTCCAAGTTTGGCATATATATATATGTTTGCAGACTGACTGGAGATGACTGAATTGGGACCAACAAATTGAATATCTGTTTAGCGACGCGGCTTTGATTTTCCTGGCCTTTATATTCTAATTTCCAATTTAAGATAGAAAATACAATAGTTCCTTGTTTCGAAAATATTGTAACCATGAAAACGTAAGAGAACAATCAGTGGCGGATTCAGCAATTAACAAGGTGGGGGGGGGGGATTTTGAGTCTGGATAAAGAATTTGGGCCCCTAAAACCAAAAATTGGATCCAAACTTTGAAAAAGTAAGGCCTATTTTGGTAAATTGGCCAAAAAAGGTCTAAAAAGGTCAACTTATGCTCCAAAAGGCCCATTTTTCTCGGCCCTCCAAAATCTTTTGGGCTCAAATTTTTTTTTCTCGGGCCACTAAGGGTGGGGGGGGGGGGTGCAGGATCCGCCACTGACAATGATCTTATAAAATTTTAACAGTATGATTCCGGACTATTTTGGTTATAATAATAATGCACCTAGTCCTCTGGTGATTATTTTCAAAACTGATATTTGACTTTTAGGGGCCTTAGGTGGTAGGCACGGGAGATATACTTTAATTACGAGAACTTGCCAGAGATAAATGATGGTCCATATGATCGGTGTTCATAAGATTATTTAATTTAGTTTACAGTTTTCTTTCAAAAAACCAACCGGTTTCATTTCGACGAGATTCTAAGTGGTCAGTAGGCCTGGAGATATGTTGGATTGAGGAATCATCAGCTACTTGAGTTGTTCCGTAAGACCACTTGTTCTTCAACTACAAGCACATTGAGAATTCCAGGAGTCCAGGCCTCGGTTAAAAGTTCATTCTTGCACGAGAAAATATGATGTGAAATTGTTGCAATTAAAAACAACTTGTTGCAGGGTATTTCAACCTTGATTCCCAAGTGTTATCTCTCGCTTGAGATACCATGATACCGTGTGCCGCGACCCGGGGGTATCAGGATTTTGTAAAACGTCACCAATGATTACGAATCAATTTTGATTATAAACAATATGACAATTATTAAATCCAGGAATTTCGATGCTTTACATTGTTTGACAGCTTGACATTTTTGTTTATAGTACTTTGTTTTGTGAGTGATCGCTATTGGTTTCCGACCGGAAGGATTTTTCTGGTTATTAATATCATAATAAAAGTCAGTTTCTGGAAGTCGCCACCTTCGCCAACGACATTGTTTTTTCAAAATGTGCCTTATACTTAGAATTGGAAGGACGCTGTGAAATATAATTCAATCTTTATAGAGTATAAAAGTATTGTTTAAATGCACTTGCAAAAAAACCGCCAATGGACTTAACATATGAAATATTTCAACAAACCATTGCACCCATCCACTACTACTAGCTATAGGAGTCTAGGAGTTTTAAGGGGGATACAGTTAGACAATTGCGAGCCTCATTTGGCTGTATTCTTTCAACTATGTAACACTTATGTACGCCAATTCATATATTTCTGTAAAAATGTAATAATGTCAAGTTGACCGAGCCAAATTTTTAAATACAATATAAATAAAAAAATAAAAAGTCAGACATTTGAGATGATCGATTATGCAAATTGAAATGAAGGCTAAGGGGAAGTGTCAAAAACCAACTCGAGGCAAAATGTTCACATTAATAACGAATATTAAAAAGCACCCAAACCCGTAGAGAGAATTTTCTATAAAACGCATTTACTGAATCGCAAATCTCTTTACTCTGGGGTCTATGCTGTTCATCGCGTGAGTAGAACTAATCTTCACTCCTTCCTCCGGTTCTCGTTATATTCCCTACTTTTGATTTCCCTGTTCTCTTGCCTTCATGACAGATGACCGTCTGTAGAGACATAATCACGGGATGCAGTTAGCATGTGATCTTGCATTACAGCACTTCCCACCGGTGAAGCCTACGCACCAGCTGGGTAGACGGCGAATCCATATAAGATTTAGAGTGATGAGCGAAAATAATTTGAGATTGTGCTCATTGAAAGAGATTTAGAGTCAATGGCAATTATTTTTCACAAAACATTCAAAAGTACTTGTCCTTTAATTCTTACACAACTCAACAAGTAGGATTTGTATCATATAAGTAGCGGCGTTATACAACAATTTTCGCAAGGGTTGCATATTTCCGCTGTATCCAGGACTAATTATACGTTCACTTCGGTATGGTTGGTCTTGTCTAAGATCTGCTATGTTACAAAAAGTAAGATGCTATACAACTTCATCATAAAACAATTAAATTCCGAGTGTAGTTCTTATTTATTCATCAGGGAGAAGTGCATACGTTTTAATTTGTAAAGATGGCGCGGGCAGTATGTTTCTGTATTCCCGTTTTTAACCATCTAAATTATTTTATAATTCGCATAGTTAATCTAAAGTTAATTCTCAAATGTTTCAATTCTCCAACATTACATTTATCAATCTCTTGGTAGTAGGTAAAACAAAAACAATTTCATCTAAGATTAATCCGTCTAAAATATTTTGTAGGTGTCTCTATATTTCGAAACGAATAGCTGGGTTGATTAAAAATGCCACCTTGTTAATTTTCTATTAAATGCGTTAGACTTGTATGGACTGTTGATGCTCGATCTACCACTGGACATTCGATGCCGTGAAACTCTTTTCTTGCGCGGTGGTACATTTGGTACAATCGGTGGAAGAGGTCTTGTTGCGATATAGTCCCGATTGTCTAATCTTGTATTGAATTCACAACCGATGGCTCGTTCAGATAGAATGTTATCCGCGCAGGAATATTTCGAAAGTTTATGGGCACGCTGGATAATCTCTAATGTGTCTATTCGGTGGCGTTGTCTCATCTCGTAGGGGTGACGTTTTGGTTTTAACTTTTCAACGATTTGTATTTTTTCTACCGATGGCGCCTGGGTAACAGCATCATTCTGCGAAGGCTGTGCTTGGACTTTCGAGTCTTTCAAAATGACAGGTAAGGTTTGACTCATCACTGATGACATAGAAAGATGTCGCTCATGTCGTATTTTGTTTCCTTTGTTATTTGTCAAAGTTGATGCGCCATCTTTCAAAGGTTCCAGTCTAAATGCTTTACGACGCGCTCTCCGTGGCGAAGTTCCTAGTAGAATCTGTCCCTCCAAGTATTTAAGCCGATCTAGATCTTCTGTTATTTTCGTTTGCCTAGCGAATGTAATGCCATCTTTATCAGTAGCCAACTCTAAAAGTGTTTTCGGAGGAACCCTTTTAGCTTTTTTTGTGTTACTGTCGTGACATCTATTATGCCTTTGTTGCGACATTTTTACCTCACTAAAAGATTTGCTCTTGGTACTGTCATAGTTTTGAAATGGTCTATTTAAAAATGCCATCGCTTCATTGGAGGAATAGGAATGTTCGGAAGACGGTTGGGTATATTCAACTTGTTCCATGGAATCATTGTACATCACGCCGTCAAAGATGGTACCAATTTCGAGGGAATTATAAAGCGGGGAGTCAAGGTGACCATTTGCATCAAATGAGGACTCGGATATAAGTTGGTCCTTTATTCCTGTACCATCAAATCCATCCTCTAAATTCTTGTGGCAAGATGTGCGGCCGAGACTGAAATCGCTACTGTTCTTGTCCAACCAGTCGTTGACCAGCTGAATGGACCTCTCAGAGACGTCGGTTCGTACTGATTTTAGGCTTTCAATTTCATTGCACTCGTCATCATTTTCATACTTTTCAAATTCTGTCTTGTATCGAAGATTTGGCTGTTCTTGATCCGATTCATCAAAACTTGATATACCACTACCAGTCTCACTACTACGTTTATCGTATGGGTCATCAATTGTCTCATCATACGTGTACATGTCCAGTGTATCGGTTATTTCATTATCCTCGGATGCATTGAGATCGGGCGATGATTCTGTTAAATCATGTCCATCACTTTGTGACCTATTCGCAAGTAGCAGTGCCTTTCTTGTTGCAACACGATCTTTGAATTGTGTATTGAATTTCGGTCTACTATCGTTATTACAATATAGATCGGTTGAATTATCATCAACCGATTCTTGAAAATCCCCTAGACATTTTGTATCCAGATGAAGCTCGCCTTCACAACGATGAAGAGTGTGCTCGATTGGAGATATTACATGTTGCGAACATATATCCTCGTCACCAGTCAAAGAGCTAATCTTTTTTCGACCATTATCGGCAAAGAGTGAAGACGTTATCGATGTTACAGATTTTCCAAGAGCTCCTCCATCGTTGTTTGCTTCCACATCATTATTTGCAACATTGACGTCCTTTGAAAAGTGAGCTTTCTTTACCCGTAGAGGGTCTTTACTGTCAAAATGTAGCATGGTTAATTCTGCCGTAGCATTTGCTTTATACTTTACAAGCTCTTTGTTGACATGATATCTTGTGTTACCATGAAACAGTGACAATCACTATATTGATATGACGTCATAGATGATTAATCAAATGCCCAGCAATATTATGACGTCATTAAAACGTCATTTACCAGCATCATCGCAACAGCATCTTGTTGCCAAGAAGTCAGAACCCTAGATATTTATTTACGTCCTTTGGTTACTTACAAGTTAAAGAACCAATTAACTATACGTTAAGCCATGTCTCTACATCCCATATTTTATCTGATTTCAATTTTTTCGTCTACTTATGATTGAATGTTAGAGAAGCGCTTTATTTTGCTTGAGTCATATCACATTCACACATCGCTAGACAAGATGTGTCCGATTCTAGCCAATCCGAGCACAGTATTTTATATAACTGCAGTGCATTATATCACCAATCACCGCACTCGAGGTTAAACAGTTATCAAGGTGACAACTTGTCTCTCCAGATTGAAATTGATACTTTGTCAACTTGACCCTTGCAAAAAGTGTCATTGAAAATGTTAAGTGATTTTGTATATTTTAGGTGGTTTCGTAGGAAATATTTTGTAATGTGTGAGAAGAATTTAAGCCCAAAACTCCTCCTCAATTCAAAACACGATGCAATGAGTCCAGGGCTTAAATCCTCAAACTACAACATGTCTAAACATGAAGGAAGTCCATTCTGATGAAAAAACTTTCGGAGTCTAAAATTTTAACGACAAAATCTCATTTGTACATGATAGTGACGATTAAAAATCGATGTATTATACATTAAAATTAGGTAAAATTTTAGAGTATAATGGACATACAATAACCTTCCAGCTGGATAAGGGGATGGACAAATACAAAAGTACTGTTAATAAACAATTCTAGTTCTAGAAGTTTTGAATAATTTATTTTAAGAAAAAAATTAGATTGTCAAAACATGGCATCATTCCCTTTTAAAACTAGGCATAATAACCTAAATGCATTTATCAACCTAGATGCATTAATCTATCTTAATGCATTTATCTACTTAAATGCATTTATTAACCTAGATGCATCTATCTACCTAAATGCATTTATCAGACTAAATGCATTTATCAGCTATATTTCAATCTTGGATGAAGAATTCTCTCTCCTAGATTACAACCATTTTCCTTTAAATGTTATGTAATTGACACTCGATCATACAAATAGAGCTCTAACAATTATGGGTAGATACATTTTCTGCCGTCGAATACAAATGAAATATTATATTATAATGTACACTGTGGGCAGTTGTAATTGTAGTTTAAATTGTTTGTACGGATACAGTGTATGTAATTCAGTACTAACATATAATCTTGGTGTGTCCCAATATAAGAGGTTATTTGTAGATGCGACTCTTGCAATGTCCTACAGTGTAGTTATCTATCAGTGCTGTGTCCACCACAGATAATATATTTAGAGCAACAGATAAGAAACTTATAGCTGTAAGACCTTAAATCATAAATTGAGAACAGAACTAGAAATGGATTGGATAAACTGATACACGTGACTATTAAGGTATCGTTTTTCAAGATTTTCACAATTTAAAATTATATCATCCTGTTTGATCTTGTGTTCCTAGTGCGTTATCGCCTACACGCTCGTCGCACGCAGCCGACAAAGTCTATAGCACGAAGCCTACAGCGTTGTATGCAGTGTATTGGCACCTCGTAGCGTTTTTGGACGCCCTGCACGGGCTCCATCGGTTGCAAGTCCACTTGGGCAAACGCCACTCTGAAAGCGAAAAAACTTGTTTATTTCTCATTTATAAAGTACACAAATATTGCATGAATCAAAGTGACTGGAAGATCAAAAAATAACTTTTACAAACAATGTAGTACAGTAATTAAATACAGAATACCTCAACAAAAATTTAGGTGATCAGTAATTAAATACAGTATACCTCAACAAAAATTTGGGTGATCAGTAATTAAATACAGTATACCTCAACAAAAAATTGGGTGATCCAATTTCCTTTTGAGAATGTGTAATGTTTTTTTAACGTACGTTTGACGTTTATCAAAACTTCATTACATTGTGAATTTTTGACTCATTATACTAGTCTAGTAACTGAGGAAAACAATTGAAATTCAAACGATGATAGAGAGACGTAATCCAATAAAGGGGAACTTAATTCAAGGCTCTCCTAAATATCCGAGCTTCTCTTCCCAGTCATCCGAAAATACGTCCAGCCAAACCGTTAAACGCGTTTTATTTTACAATATTACAATTTAGGATATCTTGTCAGTGAGACAATTATGAAATGCGACATTCACGATCAGTGTTAACTGCATATCATGATTTTAACAAATTGTCTTGTCAATGACATTGTCTTGTTAATAAACGTGGTATTTCTGCCTACCAGCGAATGACGACGCAAATTAACAAAGAAGTGTTTTTTCTTCATTAACAATGTTTCCTAAAGCGGAACCACAATTCATTCTTCTCCTTAAATCCGGTTCAGTAAGTTTAACTTCGGATCCCCCAAAAGCAAAATATGGTATATTTATAAAGTTTATTGTTCCGATAAGCGTCAATCAAACACGCTAGAGAGAAAGGTTCAATCAACTTTATCGTTGGTATGAAAATAATCCATGGATATATTTGCAATGCGGAATTAGACTTCTTCATAAAACGGATGTTTAACAATGTTAGATCGAACATATGACACACGTATAATTTCAGTGGCATTTTTGTACCAAATCGAACCAATACTGATGCAGATTTTTTGCAATTGGAAAATCAGAGCTAGAGTATACACCTGTCACATTATTCCGCGTTTTATTCAGACATTAGATAGGTAATTTAAGTTACATGTTTTAAAAGAACGTGTGGAATTATATTGTATTCTAAAGATAAGTTCTCTCCTTCGTAGCATTCATTTGCCAAATGTAGTGTGAAGTAGATGTATTTGGCTCCTACAGAGACGTGTGCAGTAATCTCTGGGGTCATTATATTACACGTTTACTACAAGTTATCTTGAACCCCCGTAGCTTTTAACCTCCCTATTAAAATTACACGTACTCGTGCATGAGTGTGGGTTTTATTAAATATCTTTATTCTTATTGGTTAAATTGAGGTCACCAATTAATATCACATGTTATACCTGGTCCTTGACAACATAGGTAATATGTTTCGTTTAGTGCCTTCTATTTTATGCGTGTTTTGGCCCCGGTTTTGACCCGAGCTCTCGGCCTCGGGAAGGTCATATACATGTACCAAGAAAGCAGCACCTGTAAATAGAAATAAAAAACGACCGGTTATTAGTATAACATATGAACATCCAGAGAGCCTCAAAGCAAATTGTTCGGCCCAAAGCTTAGGACTTAGAGGTAAGTTTCATAGAAAAGTTCTCCAAAAGTTATCGTGAGTGTAAAATTTTAAAGTTTATGTCACTGATGAAATAGTTCAAAAAGTCAAAATCAAATCAGTTTATTTTTTAAAGAAAAAGCTATATTGAACCGTAGTGAGCTATATTTTTATCTCTATATACGCCACAGCCCTGGAGGCCATAGTGATAAATAATGCTGTCTCACAGATACTCTTTACCAAAAATATAAGTTTTGTAGAATTTACGCTAAGTAGAAATATTTTTGGGATAAGGTGTCATCAACATTGAGAGATAGTTTTTTTGAACTTTTGAATCAAAATCAAAATTTCATTAAGAACTTTTTGGATTGATCTATTACTCTGTTCTGGTGTCACAAAGCCTAAATAGCTCTTCCATTCCATGATTAATATAAACACTGACATTCATTTCTATGGAATTTGCACTGAACAAAACATCTAGTACAATAAACGGGACTGACAAATACAAAGTTATGGTTTGCATTTGACACTTGGAATACGATACAGGGATTTTAATCTATGTAAGTGTAAGAGCCTCCCGGTCTATAAGCTAATCATGGTCGACCAGGTTGCCTGAAGTACAAAGAGGGATGTCCCACAGGAGATCTTCTTTCTCTATCAGGAGCTCTAATCTTTATAAAATACCTATTAAATCCCAACTCTGTGGCATGTAATCTCTACATTATCGTTTGATTTCCTTAAGGGCATTATTCAGCGACGCTTAATGCCTATAGTTTTGTAATTAACAATGTTGCTTGGCGGCAATAGATTTGCCATCCTTTGACAGAGTTGAATTTGTTACATTTCTCCCCACGTCAGAATTATTTTGTCCTCGTGTATACATAAACACATAAGTGCTAATTTACACTGTCATATTTGTCATGATTTATTCATAAATCAGTATTCATAATTTGGGAAGGCAATCTCACTTAATCTATCAAGCTTTTGTCAGGCGCGTCAATAGGTATTCAAACACATAAACAGCCCTTGTCAACCACAAAGTAATGAGCATGGCTTAGTTAATAACATCACTGAAATTGAATGGTAGTTAAGTCAGTGTCGAGTGACACACTCTAGAAATCTGCAATAGCCAATAACTGAACAATGGAACATTGACATAACTGAGCAGTCTGTAATTGTAAAGAGAAGTAACGAGATGAGAGCTCTCGTCCAGTATTCAGTTAACTCCTACTGGGTATACTAGTTATGTATAGTTATTAGTTTTTTGGGTTACTAGTATGCTATTATTTGGCATCAAAATAAAGAGGAAGTATAAAACTCTCATTCTTATTACGAGAATGGAGACGTAAGTCAAAAGTAGTGCGAACGTGAGTACGTTTACTAAGCGTGTGACGCCATTTCAGAACTTAGCACGTGGTAGCAAATGCGAGTTACAATAAATAAACCGCTGACATCGTTAACTGACTCTCTATAATTCAATATAGATAATACAAATGCCGAGTTGGAGTTATATTTTGCCGTAGAGTAAAGAATAAGCTTTTCATAGTTGGCCACGAATGCCAAGTGAATTTTCATATTTCGTGTCGTATATATTATGATACTATGATGAGAAATGACGATTGCAAATCTCATATGTCAAAAAAGAAGTAGTTTGAAAAACTGAATTGAGTCCGTATACAATTGTGATCATGACGAGTCAATAAGCTAGATATAGCTGTCATATTTTTGCCATTGTTTCTTAAAAATTT